GAAGACGGCTAATGAGCCAGGAATGGCCATTCCGGTCTTCCATGTCGTTACTGACAATACCTTTTACTCTTACTACTAGCTGCTCTGGCTGCTATCGGGGCAGAACGGGACAAGTGAGTTCCCCTTAGCAGTCCGTGTAATAAGTGTCAATACGAAATTATCCGTGACCCCCTCCAGCTTTGCGTGATTTCTAAATTCTCCAGTTCTAGGCCCTTCTCCTTAAACAGATAAACCATTGTGAACGCCATTTTGTGTTCGCGGATCCCTTTCATCCCCTCGTTGACATTTATAATGGACGAAGGCTAATCCTTTGGTCACATCTGCGCACACACATAATTGCCACCGAAGGGATGGTTTTACAACGGAGGTACAGTTTACACAATTAATCACTTTAACAATTGACTCTTATTTAAGATAAGGCAACTGGCGCTGCTTTATTGTTATAATAATAGCTACTTTACTGTTTCATGCCCCAAATAAACCTATGCTAGCCAAAAACGTTTTTAGTTTTCTGTTTATTTAAATTCTTCTATAACACAGATCCCACTTGCTATTGAACCTTCAAAACTGGCGAATATGAAGGATATTTTTCAGATAAGGAACTGGCGAGAGTTTTGTTGTGGCGATTTAGCAGACCGTAGCCATTCATTTGTGTTTGAGGATGTTCAGGGTGTTGATTGGCCGATACAAATGGGCAACGTCGATTAAAATATGCGTTTTTTTAATTTCTTTGTTTCGCTTGGCCGCTTCTTCCGTTAATTATCATGCCAATCCAAGTGCTGACAACCCTTCTATGAGTTTAATGGTTAAATTGACTGCTCTTAAAAAATGCTTCATATATATTCTTCAGGGGCTCAAAGAATGCATCTTTTGCCTAAATTTTGTTCTGTAGGCAGATCCAGTAAAAAGTGAAACAAATTTGAATTACGTTTAACAAAATATTAACTTAAAAAATATTTTCCTTGGTGCATTTACCTATATATTAAGAGACTGTTTTTAATTTATTGAGAAAATTAGGAATCAAACGATATCCAACAAATATATGATATCTATGAATGTAGATTCTTTATTTACTAACGTGCCATTGGATGAAAGAATACATCATTTGTGCATATTCCTCTGAAACTCGACTGTCCCCCGGAATATTACGGGACGAAATAACAATTGTGTACAAATAATATCCAATTTATATCTAACGGCCAGCTCTATGAAAATAAATTGACGGAGTCTAAATGGGAAGTCTTCTTGGTCCGATCTTTGCTGACATATTTATGGGCCATCTAGAGGATGATGTGTTCGCGATTGTGGATAACATACAGGAAGCTGAAGAATTAATTTTTGCAGTGAATATTTTGCATCCTTGGCTCAAATTTACCGTTGGCCAGGAACGGCCTAGCCAGCTCGCCTTCCTAGACGTTCACGTGTTCGGACAAAAAAATGGCTCAATAACACAAACAGTTTTCCATAAGAATAGACGGAAAGGGCAGTAACTGCAATACGCAAGTTTTGTTCTCATAGAATTGGAACGTAACTTGGTGTGTAATTTCTTCCAAAGAATAAGAAACATCTGCTCTCTGGAGTTACTGGATGCAGAAATAGCCTGTCTGTCCTACATCTTCTTTAAGGGCTGGGAGAATGTATCTTTGCCCAATTTTTGTTCTGTAGGGATATTCAATAAAAATCGAAATAAATGTGAACTACGTTAAGCAAAATTTTAACTTTAAAACATATTTTTCCTTGGTGCATTTACCTATACATTAAGAGACGGCTTTTTATTTTATTGATAAAATTAGGAATCAAATGGGTCCCGACAAATACGTTATATCCGTGGATGTAGATTCATAACACAAACAGTTTTCCATAAGAATAGACGGAAAGGGCAGTAAATGCATTACCTGAGTTTTATTCGCATAGAATGTAAACGTAACTTGGTATTTAATGTCTTCCAAAGGACAAGAAACATCTGCTCTATGGCGACACTGGATGCAGAAAATGCCTGCCTGAAGGATACATTACTTAAGCGGGGATATCCAGCACGGTTGATCCACAAACCCAGCAAACCTTCACTGCCAAAAATGACAAAACAGTAAATTTCAAAAAAGTCCGTTTTCGTATCATTGCCCTTTAAGGGTTACATCATTTGAAATACTAGCAGGAGACGCCTACGCAGCACCATCGAAAGGACATACCTTTGGCGATCTTACAAAGCCGCTACCAATTCTACGTGCCAAGGATGCCTTGCCAGTGCACGCCACTTCAAATTGTGTCTATGGATTTACATGCACTGGCGGACGCAAGTACATAGGGCGAACGCAACGGCAGTTGGCAGCTAGATCCAAAGAGAACTTGTCCAGATGGATATTAAAACAGGAACACAGACTTTCACTGAAAAATGTTGACCCTCAAACATCCTTCCGAGTACGTGTTCAGGCACGAAGAACTCGTAGCTTGCCCTACCTGAAGGCAGCCTATAAACGGCAATTTAAATCCAACCTATGTAAGTCGTTGGGGTCCGTGGTCAACCTAACTTTCAATTGACCCAATTGTGAAACCTTGCGGCCTCAATAGGAGTCGAACCCATACAGCAGGAAAGGCTTTTGCGTAGCCAGCGCTCTACCATTGAGCTATGAGGCTCACCATGAGCCGTGAACAGAACTTTGCCGTGGTAACATCTTGCTCCCTGATTTATATACTTCCCCCACTTTTGCTTCTCATAGTGTGTTCTAACTGGCTTACGTTTTAACGATTATCCTTCGTGGAAACTTTCTATGACTTTGTTGCTTGCATTGATTCTTTTCTGTAAGAATTCAATTTTTTGTATTCCCTCATACGTTATTCCTGTTGTGCAGTGAGAGGTTACAGCTGAAGAGCATTGGTGAAATTAACTGGTTCCATTAAATCCCGCTGTCTATGCACAATCTTCAAAAAGCTTAACTAATTTGCAACCAGCCATAAACATTTTCCTAATTCATTAAAAATGTTCTTAAATGAACGTTTTGCTTTCTATTTGCTCCTTACAACGCATTTTGCCCTTTCGACTAACTCAAACTCGACTTAAACTGATTTTTCGTTTCGCCGGAGAGTTGTTACGGGGTTACCTTACTGAAACTTGAACGTACGACAGGAAACTTTTATTGCGGGCCTGCTTATGGCGTAAGCGAACTTCTGTTGACATGCACGTTTATGTGTTTTGTTTTTGCTAGAACTGCCGCAAATCTCCACAATACCCGAGGCAGTGGAAGTGACGGAAGGCAGTTCTGTAAACCTTGAATGTTCCGCCACTGGTCGTCCAGGCCTCAAACTCATCTGGAAGAAGGCGGTGAGTAGCTTGTGTGTATTTTTGAATATTACTTAGTCTCCTTTATCTGCCTTCCTCTTCGCTGCAATAGATGAACGTTTATTATATATCTGATAGTGATGTTATACCGTACTTCCGCATAGATAGTAGCCAAAAGCTCAGACGCGTATATATAGATATCCCGTACCCCATCTCCCAAAGACAATGAAGAAAATAAGGTGCCTTCATGTACCACACTGTATTGATGCTGACTTTTCGAAAACATACTTGTTTCCATCATCAGAGTGATGGGGTAGTTGTTCCTGCATGTTGTTATTTGTTCTGTCTTGCCGATTGTCTCGTATTATACGCGTGGTTTACGCGCGCACACTGCCTGTCCTGCTGGGCGCCGATTGTATCATATGTATATATGTATAGTACATATGTATGTATCATGTTCACTATCCCCGAAGAAGAAGGAGATGAAGGGATGAGTTGGCGGTCCGAAATATATTTGGATTGACGCTTCGGAACCTTACATTTCCATCATTTAAGCATTATATTGTTTCTTCTTGCGGACCTTAATTGCTTCAGCTTCGGTACTTGGTACCATATCCGCGATGGACGCACGAAATGTAACCTGCCCATTTGCTGGTTTTGAGTGATGGCTGGTGGGTTCATGCAACTTTTCCGTGCTTTGTGACAAGTTGGCGTGCTCGGTGGCATGCCTCTTTTCAGTCATCCGACTGATAAGTTGTTCGTATTCGTGTGAGGCGGCATATGATCTCGGGGCAACTCCTCTTCTCTTTTCCGCTGGCCTCAACTGTCAGCCGCGCGTAATTTTTCTCAACCGTCCTATTAACCTTATTCGAATGGGCTCGCTGTATTGTGGGTTTTTGATCGGGGATATGCACAGCGCCAGATAGACGGACACGGATCAGTTAGAGGACACACTCG